AGGTTTTTATAGAGGAGTTACTGATGTTTTTTGCAACTACCTAATATAAGACTATGAGAAGGCAACAAATGTTTCTAGTGTATTTAGCAATATTTCACCCTAGATAATAAATTATCTTAAAATTTTCATGTACTTACAGCCTAGTTTGAATGATATAAAAATATCCCCAACATTAATTGCACAGCATTCATGTATGGTAATCGGTTTCTGAGCAATACTGAAGCAGCCATTCCAACTGCTGGAATCAAAGAGCTTTTATCTGTTTTCTTCTTGTTGCAACCACCAGCCACCAACACTGCATAAAACATCGGAGCTCTATCTTGTAGCTCTTCATTCTCCTTCTCAAATGAAAAGTCAAGCATTTTCTGTTTTGATGGTGATCTTAAACAGGTAGGATCTTTTCTCGAGCAAATATTTGAACACTCCTTGTCAATTTGTTTTAAGACTTTCACTTTGAGATGCTTTCTGATCTGTTTGCTGTTCCATGCGGCATTGGCTATTTGTTTATAGGTACCGCAGACCAACATTTTCCCAAGTGACTCCAATTCTGGATGCAATGTTTTTTCCACAGTTTTTACTAGGCTATGATACGGTGATGACAAGGTACCATCGGCAGTGATGACGAGGTACCATCGGCATCAAGTCATTGCAGCAGACATACAATTAGGTACAGCCATATTGTGAATAAATCTGTACGTACTGCCCCAAACCTAATTATGTCTTGAAGTATTGTATTCAATTGACAACATGTTTACCATTCTATTTGTTTTCAGAGTGGCAGCTAGAACCAAGCCTCAGGATGAACCAAAGTTTATAGTGTTTTATAGTGCTCTTCTTGCTCTATTCTCTATGTTTTGTTTCAAATGTAAAGCTGAAAAACCAAAAGTTAAAATGGATCAAACTGGCATGATGGTGACTGTAGAACAGCAATGTTCTTCGTGTGATAGACCATTCAAACGGCAAAGCCAGCCTTTCCATCTTGGACGATTTCCAGCTGGGAATATATTATTAAGTTTTGCCTCACTTATGGCTGGGACATCAATTGGAAAGGTCCTCTTGGTATTCCGACACTTGGGCTTGGCAGTATACAACCCAAGAACATACTACCGTCATCAAAGATATATGATCATCCCATCCATCTTAATTTACTGGGAATCATACCAGGCATCCCATCAAAGAGTGGACAAAAGGAGTACAAAATCACATTTACTGGTGCTGTACTACAACAGTGGAAAACTTTCAAAGTATGGTGTTTAGCCAAGTGGAAATCATTGATGAGACACATTGATAAGCCAATAAACATGATGACCACCCAAATCCACTCTTTCCAACATGTGCCCATAGATAGTTAGAAAAGAGAAAGTGGATATAAGTTGGTAAGATGTTTGAAATGCATAGTTGGTGCTGTAATGCATGGAATGACAAGGCTCTTCCATTGAAAGTACAGTGAAACTGTCTGGCATTACACATAAAAGACAGTAAAATAATAAAAAGAAACACTTTACCTGTCAATGGATTGTGCTACTAATGTAGCCTAGTTTCTCATGTCCTTTGTTTAATCTAATATTATTTTACTCTGTTTTATGCTAAAAAATTATTCTTATTGACATATTGGCATGTAGGGTTCAGGAATCAATATGCAATCTTGACTCTACAAAACTCAATAATCTGACTGCGTACATCAATTTACATTTTTTTGAAGGTACCAAAGCATATTATAATTTAAATGGGATTCTGATGAAAAAAAGTGTGTTAAAGGACATTAGCAAACTTTCCCCAGATGCACAGACCAGTGCCTTTGTGGGGTTCCACTCCACTCTCAATCAGTAACACCCAAAGATGCTTTGCTTTTCATGGCTTGGGACATAATGTAGGTAATTATTGTCAATGAAATGTATGCATCTGAAGGATATGTTAGTGGCTGTTTATATTTTAAAGAAAGTAAATTAATAATTCATTGATCAGTAGATCTTTCCTGTCCCGACACATATCCCTGCAGTTGTACACTTGCATAGCGCTTCCTGATGTCATTGTACAGACAAGCAGAAAGTGGTCTGGTGTTTTCAAAACCCATGTAGCCCCAAAGCCATCTTGCCAGCCATCAATAGGCAACTGCACATAAAAACCTATGAGGAATTGAGAACAGTACATCACATATTGGAACCAATAAGGCAAAAATTGCAATTGCCTGATTACTAGTATCAAGGAATGTTTGTGTTCTTACTCATTTTCCGAGCCTCCAGTGTTCTTTTTGTAATGTTTGCCATTCTTATCTCCTAGCAGTGGTGCTACCTTGGTCAAGACAGCAGGATGCGTTAGGTGGCTAAAATCCTCATGTTCAACGATGCATCTAGCATTTAAGCCGATGAAAGAAAATTTCCCTACGGCCTCGGCTACCTCTTTGCAGCATCAGTACTCTCTTGCACCAACTAGAAGTGAATTGTCACAACTTCCGCATGTACACCATATAAAGAATATAAATGACATTGACTGATTTGTTATCACAGCGACTATATTTTACAGAAAATTTCACTGAATCACTTACCACATATCTACCGTAATTTTTTTCTCGTAATGCTGCCTTAAAATAGCCTCGGACAGTCTATCTTCATCTAGTCTGTCGTCATTGTGATCACTTTCGCTGCTGTCATCAGCCAATGGCTCGTTTTGATATGGGAAAAATTCACCAGCAGGGGCATGCTTGTCGCCACCATTACCACTGGAACGACTACTTTCATTGTAGCTGATATTGTTGTCAGACAAAGTGCTAGATTCCCAGTCAGACATATCGAAAGTAGGCAAAAGTACCTCGAAATGTACATTAATTTACAAAGAACTATTTGTTGACTGTAACATGTGATGTCACGCTTGGTTCCAGTCTTCTGGAAAATTTTTATTCAACATTTCAATGTTTGTATGCAAATAAAGGCACTTTATCGCTTTTCAATTAAAAAAGAAATATTACCATGATAATCAGCGCATCAAAAACTACCAGAAAGTCGAAAAGAAACATTCACCTAAATTTCATGTCATGGGTAAGTACTTTAATTAATGTATAATTTTTATAATTTGCGCAGTTTTATATGCCTTTTCAGTGAATCGAAGACACCTGATACCTGAGAGCTCCCCTCTCATCTCGCTGCTGAGGTATGTGGTATTTATAATTATATAATTATAAACTTTTTGTTTTTTTTAATCCATATTGCCATAATGTATTTCCAGTCGTGTTCCTGAAGAAACAATGACAGCCAGTGAAGGTGACAGTGATACCCTTACTGCGGATGTATTCTCTGCCAGTGTATCACAAATGTATATCAATGGTTTTTGACATTTGATGGAAATAATTTAGAGGCTTAATAAATGTCATACATATATTTTATTTCCAATTTGGGATCAAACAATCCCAGAATTGCCAAATAGAAGATGACATATTCAACATAACCATCAATGCAAATGATGGGGATGAGTTTGATCCTGAACCTGAAGAGGCTCTGCATTGCATGGATGTGTCAGCACTCTGGAGGTTGTATCCCCTGAGCAAGCAATTAAATGGAGAAGTGCATTGTGTTTACAGACACTCTCATGACACTGATTACGACTCTCTATGGGATTGTCTGTTAGCAAGAAAATTTTGGTCGGCATCTGCATTACAAGAAAACATATGTCGGTACTTGTCTTGTTGTGTCCTCGAGATGTGATTCTGGCAATGTTGGTGGGAGATGGGCAGCACAGCCATCTTGTGAAATGATCTGAGCAGGCAATCTCCTGCTTACTGGTAGTTAACTCTATGTTCAAAACAACCAAATTTTTGTCACCCAACCCAATTAGAATCTAGAGAATTTCGCATGCATTAATCATGGCTTTAAACTTTCACCAAATTGCACTTAAAACCAATACATACCCACACATACAATATGAAATGATAACACTGAATAGCATATTAAAATAATAAGATCGACAGTAATATTTTTCTCTCTCTCTCCCAAGAGTTGTCATAGCTACTGTGGCTGCTCCACTTCATGAGGTACTCAAACTATTGAGGTTAGACATAAACCCCAGTTCATGTCAAATTTTAACAAGATAATTTGTAAAATAAATCAAATTGTCCCATAACGTTCTCTTTTGTTTGCGACAACTAATTAGTCGCTCCACTGGAAAATTTCTCCACTGGAGATTTCTTTTTACTTGGGCTGGCAGACATTTAATGGACTGGTTTGTAATGAACACATCAAACATTTAAAACATCTCTATGATTACATAAGGTACCTGTCGTGCGTGCGCCTGCATGATAAACCACTGCCTGTATCAGATTTCTAGCCATGAACGAGATCACAAGTGATCATGAATTTGCAAATATTTTGATGAACTTGTACAAAGGCTCAAGACATTCATTGATTGAAATGCAGTAAGGATGTCACTATAGATGTTTATTTTGTAGTATTCGCTGATTACAGAACATTCTGTTGCATTCTTAGCGCTAAGGAAACCTGAACAAATGATCCAGATGAAACAATGGAGGCATTGTTTGGGTCTGACATCGGTCCTGTTGCCAAAAGGTACCGCCCAGAACGTTGGCAAGATTTCTTCACCATGTGAGTGTATACCAGATTTATTAATGGCATATAGCAACATTTTCATGGTGTATGTGGCCATACAATAAATATACAAAGAAAATGACACCATTTGATTTCTGCAATACATGTTTTGTGCTTCGTTGTTTATCTTTTAGTTTAAATTCTTTACTGAATTGTGGCTTTCATAATGTGTTGTTTATAATCATTTAGGTTATAGAAAGAAACATTTTGTGCTGTTGCTATTTTTTCAAAGTCACACCATTCTTATTTATCTTTTAGGTATACAAGGTCAACATTGGTGACTTATCTAATGCTAGCTGGCCCGTGAAGAAATAATGAAGGGGAAAACAAATGCTCAGTTCAAATGTTTTTCGGATTTAAATAACACAGGGAGTGTGATATTTAGCAGTGCTCTTTTGACCCACATCAACAACTGTTCACACTTTCAAGAGTCAATGTCCCACACTTTTGGCCAGCCCCTTTAATACCCTTTCTTGCACCAGCAATGAGATTGGGGTCAACCTCATCCTCTTCTACTCCTTCATCTGCATCATTGGTGCCATACGAATGATGCAGCTCCTGGTGTTTGAGCCACTTTTTCCTTTCTTCTTGGTTTTCAGCTCTAGCAACCTTTATGCAGATTCTGCCCTTCTTTTTGCCTTCTGTTTTACCTCTATCCACCTCTTTCATTCTAGTAGTAACCTCTTTCATTCTAGCAGTAACCTCTTTCTGAAGGGTTTCAATGACAGCAGGTATTACTGGAAGGTGAATTCTGTCATAAAGATCTATAAGCCAGTGGTATTTTGGACCTCCAGTTTTGAAACCCAATGACATGTTTCCCTGACTAAGGCCACAATTTGTTGATGTTATATAATGTAACCTGTAATGAAAAGAGAGCCATTAAACAACAATATTTCAGATAATTGGGATTAAATGTTAGTTTTGCTTTAGAAAAGAGAAAGCAGTTCATTGTACACATTTTAATTTTATGTGAAATTTTATAGAAAAGTGTCATATCCCAGAATAATTTATTATATTGGTCATAAATAAACATTCAAAATACTACATATACTCTCCAATCAAGGTGTTTAACTAACCCTTTAGAGTGCAAGACTCTCCCCTCTATGAGTAAAATCGTCTGCCATTAGACCGAGTAGAAGAATAAAGTAGGGCGCATTTGGGCAAATTGCTGTTAATGTGTTAATAACTGTCCAAGACTGTAACGTTTTTTTGCACAGGAAATACTTTGTCATCTTCCTAGGATTTTGTATTGGTGATGAAAATTCACTCACTGCAGTCTGGTAACTGTTCCATTACATCTGAGGACTAAAGTATAATAATAGATGAAAATGTCTAACCTGCAGAGGTTTTGATCCTTGGCATGGAAATCAGGTAAGACACTAAAATGAGCCTCACACTGGTTGGAGCATCCTCTCACCATTGTTGGATGTATAACACTTTTAGCATCATCTGCACAATGTAAGCATTCAATTTGATATGCCAATTTGTGAAATGCACAGGTAAGAGGGTATTTTGTTTTGTAAGTTACACCAGAGCATCCTATCTTCTCATCCTCATCACAGTCACCACATGAACACACAATGTCTGGATGAAATCCACATGATTTCCCATCAACCCTTGTATGAATATCTTTGCTATGATATGTTCCAAGGGCAATCAACCTCCTTGCATATTCCTCACTTTTGTCACATTGCTGGAGGCAACAGAAATGGTTAATTCTTGCATTTATAAGGTAGCTATTACTAATACATCCACAACCAGCTTTGTGTCTATCACACTTACACTTAGCAGTCAGTACTGATGGAGACTGATCTTGGTATTTCTTTTTCAATGTCGCTGAAAACTCCTTTTGCTTGGCTACTTCTTTGCGCTTGAGCTCTACCCACATGCTCGCCACACTTCTAAATTTCCCCCTTTGGATGCCACTTGCTAATTGCGTTTGCTGCGCTTGAGTCACCATCTTGCCAAACAACCTCAACATTACACCCTTCATCCTTGGCTTCTTTGTAGCACTCTTTAGCAGGACACCCTTCCATTGACTTAGATGTTCCTGCGAACAAATCTTCATCTATGACATCAACTTTACCTCGCATCCTTGAAAACTTATCATAGCCATGTCCAGTAACTAAAAATGCGACTGCCAATGCCAGACCAATTAATGTACGTTTGGAACCTTCAACAAGGGCTGAACCACTAAAATTTACCGTCTGCATATCACAACCATTGCAACTAAATATATTTCAAGGTTCCATCCAGTCCTATTGGCTCTACATTTACAACAAGAATAACTGTAAATGCAAGAGAGAAAATGACATACTATAATCATTATGCTTGTATGTTACTCCGAGTGTGTTGCCACACCAGACAAACACGAAAAATGTGCCTGACCACAGTGGGTTACAAAACTACGACCTTTGGAATACTAGCCCAATGCTCTTTCAACTGGGCTGCGCTATGTGTTTGCCTGGTGTGGTAACACACTCAGAGTAACATACAAGCATTATATTATTCACCTGAGTACATTGCACCATCATAGAAAAAATGACATACTAATTAAATTATTGACCTACTGCCAGTCCTGCCAGTACAATCTTTTGTGGAACATTTAAAAGTACTGTTGGTTTGATTAACAAGTTCAGCAACCTGAGTTGACTCGCACACAAACAATCTCCTTTCTACATTTTGAGTGGCTTCTTTTGACCTAGCTATGGATATAGTTTCTTCTGAACTTGGCACATAATCTAAACCACCGTCACTTAAACTTTCCTCTTCAGACGTTTCAGGAAGGTCGTTTAAGCAATCCTCCAAATTTCTCGATACCAAAACTTCCTCTACACTCTTATGCGTTTTGTATTCGGTTTTCCCAGGGCTTACAAAACGTACTCGCTTGTTGTTGTCATATCTTTTCAACCTTCAGTTGGACCGAACCGTAAAATTCATTTGACTTCCAGTCCCTAAAACTCTTGCCGCATGTGCTTTCTTAGATTTTTCTTTTGCTAATAATTTCTTCTCATCTTTCAACATTTTTTGTTTCTTTGAAGGGGCCATCTTGTGCAAAATATAAAATCAAAAATTATATGAAGTACCTCGCTTTTCGGATGTTGTCAAACAGAAGTTCTGGAAGTTGACAAGATCAGTGAAAACAAGATGGCTTCCTTAGCAACGGATAAACAAAGAAATAGTGTCCCTTAAAGCCAGGGCTCAATTGATAATTGCGGTAATCATTCCCGGCAGAAAACATGGTAGAAATACAAATTGAGAGAACTTCCAGCTTTTCTTGTTAATTTAGATGCTGTAAACAAGGGTAAATTTTGTTAGCCAATCAGCGCATTTGTTGACATTTTACACTCTAAAGCAATCAGAATGTGTGAACTTCCAAACCATAACAACAAAATTAATGAAAAATGGTACCAGGCTCTACAGCTTACATGCCATTTATGGTGTAGTATTTTACTCTACAAATGACAGATTCTAACAGAGCAACGATTTTTCTTCAATTTTCTTAAGGGGATTTTTAAATTTTTGGGAAGAACCAAAGATATTGATGTTTGAATAACCTTGCTTTGGCGTGCGTTATATTCAATATTTTGCTCAGCTAGCCAATTAATTATTCGCGTATCCAGGAAATATTCTTGGTTTAATGGTATATTTTTACAAAATCGCATATAGGAATAATAAACACTGAATACGTTTTACTTGTTTTTCATCAACAAAATAAAATTACAGAGGTTAACATAAAAACATTGAAGATATGTTATTTTTAAAATTTTATTTCTGTACATCTAGCCCCACATATTTTTCTATGGCGGGGAAAAATTTGTGCCTTTTCATTTTAAACTGTACTTTTTCCTTGCAACTGTTCTGAAAATAATACCAAATCACCACTGCGTACAAAAATGCCAAAATATTGAAGGTCTTGCAACAACCCCTTTCACGAAAGTTGGTCAATGTCTGAAGTTGAGACCATAGTCAATTTATGAACTTGTGGTTTAGTTTCAATTGCAGCTTTTTTTAGCAATATGTGGCGACGGAATTGGGAAAACCCTTTGCATGGTATTAAAAATCTTTGCTGAACGTTCCTCAGCAAGTGCTTTACACAATAAGAAAGTTTACTAAACTTGTTCCAGGAGTTCAGATGGAGGAACTGAAAAACAAAGTACAGAGTCAGGTTAGAAAAAAAATACAAAAGATTATATGCAGGGTCAAAAATATTCTACAAAACAAATTGACTTGTGTATTCATGCTTCCTGCATTTCTACTTTTCTGTATCTTAATATTTTGCAAAGGTTAGCTGAAACTCAGGTAGCTGCAAACATTTCAAATATAGGATCCTTCAGCAGACCACTTGACTGCCACAAATATTTTGCCAACAACACAAGACTCACCTGAGATTTCAAGCAATAAAATCTCAGAAGATGCAGAGCATACATCCAATACTCATTTTACTGTACATCAAAGCTGTGTGTAAAGCCCACTTCAACACAGAACAAGACGCTCTGTTGAGCGCTAAGCCACTGGGGGAGTAAAATAATGCTTTTGTTTTTTGGGCATTTACTATTTTTTGTCGATTTTAATTTTTTGTCTATTTAGCACACTTGACATGCGAATTACGCATTGCTATACCGAATATACAGTAGTAGCACAATAAACATAATATTTTGATGCAGCATGCTACTACAAGTGTAGAATGAGACTTTATTGGGAAGATTAAAATACAAGGGGACAGTCCAGTTTACAAAATTTGAAGTATAAATATTGAATTCACAAATAATTACTAAGAGAATTCTACGCAGACTATGTCCTACAGTCATAGAAGTTTGCACATGCAGTACAATTTGCATTAATTGGAATAAAATTCCTTTACACTTTGGACATTGAGTATGGAATATATAGACACGGTTATGAATGACAAAACAAATCCTGTAGGTTACAACTGTTTGAGTAAGTTTGTTAAGGCAATTAGGATTTGTATATAGGCAACAAATTGTGTAACCTTTCTGTTTATGAATAAAGGGTTCAGATAGTTCCAAAATTCGTAAATTTACGAGCACTGGGATGAGGATCTTTCTTGTAACTTTAACATGTAACATACCAATATCGAGGGACATTATACTGTACGTCAATTGACAGCTGTGTTCTCTAGCAATGAACAGTCCTACCTCGACCAAATTTTGAAATATCCATAAAATGAACTCCAAAGCAATATTCAATAAATAGCATAAAAAATGAGGAACTGTTTACAGCATCCCTAAACACATTTTTGATTAAAGCAGTGGTGACAACACAATGAAGTTAATACTAAATTCCAGGTCCATACTACACATTTCCTCACTAAAAATTATTCACCTTATGGAACATATTTTGTTGCATTGTGTGATTTTGCTTGGCATTTTTCTACAAAATTAAGGAATTAAAAAATATAGTAACGTGAAGCTGAAGACAATTAAACTTGTCTTAGGCAATGTTTTTCTCGACTTCATAATATTAAACTCAGTTCTTTTGGAGCATACCTTAAGCACATAATGCCTAATGAGTAATGGGTTATAATTTTCCGAACTGCCTCATTGTAAAATTTTCTATAAGTCTAAAAGAAAATAGAGACGAAGAGTTAATATAGACTTGAGCTTACAACATAGAAGATAGTGCATAATAAGTGCATGAAAAAATGTGCATGGCGCATGGAGCTATGATTTTAAAAACATACCTTATCTCTATATTCTTCTTGAACACTCTGCATTTAAGTCTGTTGGGGGTCTACTAGAATCCCCAAGCCAGTTTCCTTGTTGACTGGCTTTTCATTTGAGCGATTTCGTGATTATTTTCTAAATTTTATAGCATATGTATAGGCTCTTTTACAGAAACTTTATAAGTGGGGTAATAATGAAACTACATGTCAAAACTTACCGTGACCTTAATAGCCTCATGGTCAGAAAAATATACACTTACAACATTAGCAACAAATTTTTCGCTCTTCAAGCGTTTTACGTAAACATGATCGAGAAGACTTCCAGATGAAACAAAAGTTGGTTTAGTAACAAGTTGTATGTAATTTAAAGACTCTGTAGTTCTTTTAATGGAGGAATTTTTGTTTCATTAAAGTAATCAATATTAAAATCTCCACATACAATGTCGATATCCAAGCTGGTTATTATATAATTTAGGCAAGCTATGAAGTCTTTAATATTTCTACTGTGCTTACGATAAAGTAATAGACAGGATAATGTATGCCCTGCTGAGTTATCAAGTAAAAATTTTAAAGCATTTGTTGAACTGAAATATTCTATATCACATAGTGTAATGATATTGTCTATGTAGCAAACAGCTAAACTTAAGAACTTGTCGAAATTATGATCTTGTCTGTGTATAGAGAAATCGTTAAGGAGTGAGCCAATTTCATCATTTGGTTCATTGGTTAAAATTTGGGTTTCAGTTAGGGCTAGCACATCACATTTTGTTAAAATTGAATCACTATTAAGGTCAACACTGTGTTTTAATGATCTAATATTTAATATCCCAGTTGTGACAGTTTCTTTATTACATAAATCTGTTGTAATTTGTCGGTCCAGACAAGAAATTTCACGCAATCTGTCGTATTCTTCTTGGACTTTAGGATTGACTCGAATATGCTTACTTTCAAGTGTTCCTAAAATATGTAGGCCATTTAAAGATGTTGCTCGATTGAGTGCTACATACACTTGACCATAATTGAAAGACCTTTGCTTTCTCAAATCAAAACTAACGACAGTTATTCAGAGTTAATCCTTGTACTTTATGCACAGTGCAAGCCCATGCCAGAGTTAAAGGAAATTGTAATCTTTGTATTTCAGGAGATGATGGTTTTCCTGTTTTGACTTTAATTCTTGCTAGTTCAGGTTGGATCGGAACAACGTGGTTTTCTCTCGCAAAACTGTTGGACGAATTTCGTAAAGCAGAAGTTCCAGCATTATCATCATCAAATTTAACAAAAATTGTAGAGGGCTTATTGCTATCTGTCCCATTAATTAGTCAATCAGTGATATCTACATTGGTTGTGAGCATAATTCTTGCACTTTTTTTTATCACAATTTCAGTGTCAAGACCTCCAGTTTTGGATCTCCCTTTAGACAACACTCTTTCAATATCCTGTTTCCTAACATGTGGTGGAAATTGAGCTGAAGCTTTTAAAATGTATCGTGGCACTGCAATTTGTTTTAGGCGTTTAATATTGTACTCATCTACAGGTGCATTTTCTGCAAAAATGTGTAATGCATCTGATGGATAGTCTTCTTCATCAGGACGTATTTCTCTAGACTGAATACACTTGATATCATCTTCTGTACGTGAAGCAGTGCGTATTTTGTTCAATAGTTGAGTGAAGGCAAGATCATCTTTTTGTCTCATGATTTCTGTTAGTTCTGTCATTTTAAAGACATGCCATGGATGGCAAAGATTAAATGCATCATTTTTAAAATTTGAAAAGGCTGTTGCGCTTTGAATAGGTGGTAATTGAAAGAAGTCTCCTACTACAACTATACTGATTCCTGCAAATAGTTCACTATTTGGTGTAAGAAATATCTCTTTTAGCCTTTGGTGAATATGCAATAGACCCATGTTATATAGAGACCATTGATAATTCATCAATTATAATCAATTTTAATTTGGCTAGAGACAGTCGCATTTGTGTTCTTCTTTGATCAGACATTGCAGGCACATTATTTCCACATTCTCTTGGAAATGCTAGTGCAGTGTGTATGGTTGTCCCACTAATATTTATGGCGGCTACACCAGTTGGAGCAGTAAGTAATACAGAAGGTAACTCAGAATTCATAGGAGCATGTCTAAATGTTTTTGTAACAGTATGATACATAGCTCTAATTAGTGTGATTTCCCTGCACCGCCACCTCCAGTAACAAAAACATGTATTGGTTGTACCTTAGAAGGTTTAAGAGTGTTTTGACTTGCCATCTTCTGTCTACACCAGGAAAGAACCAAGTCATATGCACATCGTTGTTCATTATTTAATGATCTTATAGTTTTTCGTAGATCGTCGTCAGTTATCTCTGAGGGTT